CACTTTGGTGGGAAAACCCCTAAAACTGACTTACTGGTGTGTACTTTTTTGTCATCTACCGTTTACAGATATTGTACTCCAAGATACTTGGATTATGAAGATTTGGAGCGCAAGTACTGGAAGAACTTAACTTTTGTGGCACCCATCTATGGTGCAGATATTAACGGAAGCATATATGATGAGGTACATTCATATTTACAGTGAGTTTTGTAAAGGATCATTGGATGTGACAGTTTTGTTACCATTTAAGCAGTTTAGAAGTGTTCTTTTGTTGTGCTTTTGGGTGATTCCTCAAAGGATGACAGGAAATATTCATCAGTAGGATTTCTGCTGCTGGTATTTTTCAAACTGAAGCTAGGTAATTGTACAAATACCTGAAATTGTTAAGTAGTAATATGGTGTGTGATTATCTGGCTGATCTTTTCATTACATTAAAACTTTTTAAAGCAAAAATACATTATAAATGTTTGGAAAACAGGAAATATGATCCATCATACTGACACCTTAAAGCAGAAGCAGTATTTTTGATATATTTTTCCATTAATTTACCTCAATCATTAAAAAAAAGTTATATATGAACAGGTTTATATTGTCCTTTTTTTCCACAGACAAATTGTAATAATTTTTTTCTTTTTTTAAAAAAGTACGTGCTATTACAGTATTTTTAGCCATTTTAATGGGGCATAATTCACTGGTTATATTCTAATTCTTTTTGCCTTTTCCTGATATTTAAAAACCCTAATTCTAAAAGTTCTTTGTCTTTTGAAACCTTGTATGCGCTATTTTCTTTTTTTATTTATTTTATTATTTTTTTGAAATTTTTATTGAGACAGGATCTCAGTATGTTGCCCAGGCTGGTCTTGAACTCCTGAGCTCAAGAGATCTAACTGCCTCGGCCTCCTAAAGTCCTGGGATTAGAGGTGTGAGCCACCAGGCCTGGCACGTTATTTTCTTTCGAAAAATTTCTTATCTACCAAAAGGTGGAACTAGTGCAATACATACCTGGATACCCTTCACTTAGGTTCACCAGTACAAGTTAAGCATCCCTAATCCAGAAATCCAAAATCCAAAATGCTCCAGTGAGCATTTCCTTTGAGCATGACCTTTGAGCATCATATTGAAACTCAGAAAGTTTGGGATTTTGGAGCATTTTGGATTTTTCAGATTAGGGATGCGCAACCTGTATAATGCAAATACTCCAAAATGGGAAAAAATCCGTCATCTGAAATACCTCCGGGCCCAAGCATTATGGATAAGGGATACTTGATCTATAGCTAATAGTTTGCCACATTTGCTTAATGTTTCTTTGTCTCTCTTTGTCTCTGTTTCTGTCTCTCTCTCTCTCTCCTGTAACATTTGATGTATGATGCAGACATCACGATAGTTTACCCTGAATTATATAAGCATGTATCTTTTAATTACAAGGGAGTTTAACATTTATATAATATTACCTAGTGTATAGACCATATTGAAATTTTCCCAGTAATGTTATAACTCCTCCCGTCCCCATCCTGTAATGATTTAGTCAAGGATTCCCCTTTGTCACTAATAAGTGATCTATGGGGTGATACTCAAATATTAGGTGTCTATCTGTCCCCAACAGCCTTTCATTCAGTGGATTTAGCATCCATGGCATTCATTAAGAATTCTTGCCTTAATTCCATTATTATATTATTTTGAAACCTTTTTTATTTTGTAATAATAAAATAAGCTAGAAAGTGCATAGAGCGTAAACCTAGAGCTTTATGAATTATTGTACAGTGAACACCTGTGTACCATTTCTGACACCGAGGAAAACATTACCAGCACCGTAGAATTCCCTTACCTGCCCTATTACCTAGTATAGGTTCCCCTTTTCCTTCAACGGTAACTAGATATTCTGACTTTAACAGTACAGCTCAGTGTGGCCTGTTTCTGAATTTTATGTAACTAGGATCATTCAGCGTACATTCTTTTATGTCTGGCTTCTTATACTTCATACCTTATACCTTCTACTTTCTTGTATACCTTATATATACATGTTAGCTTTAGAAGAAAACGTTTTTTCCAGCTTACACTTCCTATAGCAATGTTTCCAAGTTTCCTTTGCTCCACATCCTCCCTAACACTCAATATTGTCATTTCTTTAATTTTAGTCGTTCTGTTGGTGTGTGTAGTCGTATCTTTTGGTTTTTAAGTTGCATTATGATTTTTTCCCCTTACGTTCACTAACTGTTTGGATTTCCCCTTTAGTGAAGTGCCTTTTCAAGTCTCTTATACGCTTTTCTTTTTTGTCATGCTTTTCTTTTTTTTTGGCTTAAGTTCCCTTTTCTTTGGTTTTAGCGATTCTTATTGGTTTATACTTCTTTATCTATCCTGCGTATGAGGTAGTAGCACAATTTCAAATTTTATATATGAATTTTTAATTGCTGAACAGTTATTTCAAAGACCATTCTTATTTTTGAAGGTATTATATGATATTGTAGAATTGTCATATTGGGTGGAATGATGGCTGTGTAATTTTCGTAACTTAGCAATTAAAGATGCATATTGAAGGATATATGGTTGAAATAACATGAAGACTGGGATTTGTTTTTCAGTTACTTAAGAAAATAAAGCTGAATGGATACAGATGAAAGAAGATTGGCTACACACACACACACACACACACACACACACTTTTTTTTTTGAGACAGTCTTGCTCTGTCATCCAGGTTGGCATGCAATGGCATGATCATGGCTCACTGCAGCCTTGACCTCCTGGGCTCAAGCAGTCTTCCTGCCTCTGCCTCCTATGTAGCTGGGGCTACCTGCAGGCGCCACCATGCCTAGCTAATTTTTTGAGACGGAGTCTAGCTCTGTCTCCCAGGCTGGAGTGCAGTGGCGCAATCTCGGCTCACTGCAAGCTCCGCCTCCCGGGTTCACACCATTCTCCTGCCTCAGCCTCCCGAGTAGCTGGGACTACAGGTGCCCACCACTGCGCCCGGCTAATTTTTTGTATTTTTAGTAGAAACGGGGTTTCACCGTGGTCTCGATCTCCTGACCTTGTGATCCGCCCGCCTCGGCCTCCCAAAGTGCTGGGATTACAGGCGTGAGCCACCGCGCCCGGCACCTAGCTAATTTTTAAAATGCTTTTTGTAAAGACAGGGTCTTCCTATGTTGCCGACGCTGGTCTCAAACCCCTGGAGAGCAAGTGATCTCCCTCCTCAGCCTCCCAAAGTATTGGGATTACAGGTGTGAGCCACTGCACCCAGCCCAGCAAAATATTTATAAATGAAGCTAGATGACAGACTGGTGTTTTAAATACATATATGTTTGAAATAGTAAAAGTAAAAGTTAAAAAAAATAGCCTTTCCTCATTCTGCATCTGAATTTTTACTAGTATAAGTAATCTCTATGTTGAGAATGTACTGTTTATTAAAGTAGTATATGTAGTACATGTAGGAAAATTGAAAAATACAGAAAAACATGAAGAAGAGAATAAAAATTGCTCATAAGTTTGTCAAACAGGAATAACTTTTTTTTTTTTTTTTGAGGACGGAGTCTCACTTTATAGTCCAGGCTGGAGTGCAATGGCGCGATCTTAGCTCACTGCAACCTCCGACTCCCTGGTTTAAACTATTCTCCTGCCTCAGCCTCCCGAGTAGCTGAGATTACAGGCACGTGCCATGATGCCCAGCTAATTTTTGTATTTTTGGTAGAGACGTGGTTTCACCATGTTGGCTAGGCTGGTCTCGATCTCCTGACCTTGTGATCCGCCCACCTTAGCCTTCCAAAGTGCTGGCATTACAGGCGTGAGCCACTGCACCCTGCCCAGGAATAACCTTTCTATGATTTCCTTTTGGTCTTTCTGTTTTATGTGAGTGTGTGTGTATATGCTTGCCTGTGTTTGCATGTGTGTTCATGTTTACCACCAAAGGATTGAGAAGGTCTTTACAGTTTTTTTGGCTTTTGAAGCATTTCCAATACTGCTCTCCAGAAGGATCATTTGTTTCTTTCAGCACAAGCCATATCTAGACTACCAATTTCAAATTGTACCTTGTATTAAATGGTTGCTAGATTTTTGTTTGTTTCAGTTTCAAGTGTATTCTTGGCTGATTTATTCTTTAGTGATAATAAATTTCTTATGAGCTAAAAGTAAGTTTAGCTGTTGTGGGCAGGTCATTAGATGTTGCCCACAGGTAGGGGCAAGTTATGCACATGTGTGATAACGGTGAGGGCTCAAAGAGAGGCTAAGAGCAGCTTCTAGTGCTTAGAGCAATTGTCTGGGAAGGGTGTGGCAGCAAGTAGAGCATGTAGTAAGTGGATGGTGAGGGATGTGGGCAGATGGGAGTGGGCATATTGGAAACATTTGTGTGGGTCTGGTATCTTTATGCTCTTACCAATAGACTTCCTAAAGAATGTGGAAGAATGTGGCATCTTGCCTTGTTAAATCAGCTTCTGTGTGATTTGCATCGGAACGGGTGAGGCAGCTTAAGTATTGTTGTCCTTTTACACTTAACAAAACGTGGGGCCCAGAGAGGGTCAAGTGCTTTTCCAAAGTTGGGAGGCTAATAAAAGGGCCATGACATGCTCTTATCCCTCACACCAGTGTTAGATAAGTCATTACGCATAGTCAATCTCATAGTTGTGGAAATATGTGAAACTAGGTCTTTGTCAACTACATACTGCCCCTGAGCTAATGGGGGTATTTTGTACCTTCTCCATAGCTTCTTCCTGTGTGTTGTATCCTGGCAAATGTTCAGGCTTCTGAGAAGAAGGTTGAGCTGATGGGTCATCTAGATCCTGGACTGAAAGTTGCATATCTGAGTGCTTGAAAATAAAATAAAACTCAATCTAAGTTTTTTTTTTTTTTTTAAAACCACCTTTTAAGATACTTAACCTTTTTGTTCCCTTATTTTTGTGTATATAATTAAGAGTTAGAAGCAGCAAGTTTGGGATCATTTTCAGAAAGATTGATATAAAAAGGTCCTGAATTAGCTTTATGTATTTGGTAGTGAAATAGCATAAGCATTGACTGTAAAGATGAGGTTGATGGACTTTGGTTTGCAGTGCTTATCAATTTACTGCTTGTGTTTGAAAGCCCTTTACTCATTGGCATTGCTTCAAGGGAACATTGACTTCTAGACTTCAGATTTGAGTAACTTTTGTTATTAAAATCCAATGAACAGAATCCACTGGTTTGTAAACACGCAGTTTTAAAA